CAACCCCCTTGGAAGAGGTTAGTTGAATGTACCCTTTAAGAAAAAAAAGATGAAAAGTACCGTGACATCCCCCCGCCTCAGAAATAGCCCATTTTTTTCTCATACCCCTCAGAAATATTGCAAACATCAAAGGTGCCGACACAGCCACACCCCTCCAAGAATGTTCTCCCAGGAGGTGGATGGAGACCTTTCTGAAACGGACACCTAATGTCAGTCCCTGCCACTTTGACCCTATAAGGAGGACGCTTCTTTAAATATTTACAAGCTTTGAGCACTGGTTGATCCCACAAATGTCTGCCTTTGAGAAAGTGTGATTCAGTTGCTATCATTTATGGTGATTTTATTACAGTTTTATGAAGCTTCAAGTTGTGTATAACAAATTGAAGTTTTAATTCACTTAAGTTATCACCCAACAATAAATTTTTGGATTTTCTAGGAGAAAATTGTTGGTACCACACATGTAGACCACTCATTGCCAACCTTCATGCTCTTTTTAAAGGTTTCTGGTCCAAAAAGACACCCTGTTCAGATAGTGAAATTTTATACCCTGTTTAGGACTCAAGACCCTGAAAACCATACCCTATTCAGCGACACATGCCTGTATAGGCCAAGTTATTAAGGAAATGCACTTTACTGGGGAGTTTTGTTCTTATCAGCAACGATCTTGAAGCTTTTTTTTTATTTGAACTATTTTATTTATTATTTAGTTAGTTATTTATTCTATATTCATCCCTTTTTTGTGTGAGAGCTTTGAAGGAGATTGAAGGGGATGATTGTAAGTAGAAGCAGAACTAGGAGTAGAAATGACCAGAGGTTTCATTAAAAGCCAGTTGGCAGCAGTTTTCCACCACCTGTAATGCCTCTCATCGCTGTCTGTTCAGTTCATTGTATTTGTAAGATCTAAGATTTCTAGAAATAAATAAGTAAAATGAAGACAGAAAGAGAGAAAGAAAGAAAGAAAGAAATGAACTACAATGAAGAAATACATACAGTTAAAGACCATGTTTTCTAGTTATCCTAGAATAAGTCAGAATGCTTACACAGGTGACATGTACGTTATTGAAACCCCTGAATGACCAGTGATGTGAAATTACTCTTTCTCCTTTTTTAGGTCAAAGCTGTCTGCAAAGGCGCAACTGTTGTCATTCATACAGCGGCCTTAATAGAAGTCAGTCCTACTTCAGAGACAGGAATGTGGGCTGTTAATGTGAAAGGCACTGAGAACATAATCAAGGCCTGTATAGAATGCAACGTTGCTAAACTTGTCTACTCAAGTACTGCAGACGTTCTATTGGGTTGGTCAGAAAACTACAATTTAAACGAATCAACACCAGCACCTGGGGATAAAGTCTCTGATTACCTTTTCGGCCAATATGCGTTCACCAAGATGCAAGCGGAGAAAAGAGTCCTGAGTGCAAACGGAAGTAAGCTTGCTAATGGTGGCAGGCTTGTAACATGTTCATTACGAATGCTTGTAATGTATGGGGAGAGAGATACAGTGTTTATTCCCAATGTAATTAATTCTGCTAAGAGTCAGTTAGGTTATTTACCAAGAATGGGGAATAGAGATGCCATTTTTAACCTATGTTATGTTGGTAATGCAGCCTGGGCCCATGTGCTTGCAACAGAGGTAATGCATTCAAAACCAAATGTGATTGCTGGCAAGGCATTCTGCATTGGAGACCACACCCCCAACAAGAACTTTTTTGACTTTTTAGAACCTTACCTAGAAGCTACAGGCTGCACTCTTTTGAATATTTCCATTCCCTATTCCATCATCGTCTTCTTTGCTTTTATTTTGGAATTGGTAGCATGGATTTTAAGGCCATTTGGAAAGATTTCTGTTTCATTTACAAGATCCTCTATTTATTGTGTGTGCAAGGGCATGACAATCAATTGGAACAAAGCTAAAAAAGAACTTGGTTATGCACCAATCTATTCTTATGAAGAATCTAAAAACAACACAGTCCGATACCTTGTAAAAAGATTTGTTGCTTGAAGAAACATTTCTAGAAACTCAATACTACTTATTGTTTATGTATACACATTTGACATCAATACATGTTAAATACTTTCTACTTTTCTACTGTTTCTGTATCAAAAATGGTTTCCTTGATTTTGACAAAGTAATACTGACTAATACACACATTCCTAGTATGTTACTACCTTTTTAATGCTAAATAACACCAATCACATTAATGGTGGTGAAGCAAGTCGAGGACCGGTAAGGGAGTGGAGAAACTCCAGTAACATTTTCTATCAATATTTTTATGCAAGATATATACTAGGCTATGACCAGAAAGAAAAAGTTATACTTCTATGATCTGAAAGAAGGAACACAGCAAGAGCACAAAGGTATACTTTGATTACCCCATTACTAGGTGCACTTTTCCTACTCAGAATGTTCATTACACACCAGTATTTTTATATTTATGGAATCATATCCCATACTAATTGACTACTTGTATGCTTGTAAATAGACCTCCCTCTGTATGCCACCTTCCTTGCAGGTGGTGATATTCAGGCAGAAAAATGAGGGACCACTCATTGTCTACCAATTAAAATGTTTAATAAATTAAAAGCACGTTGAAATAAATGCATTATGATAATTTGTTCCCCAAGACGTGAGAGCTTTAGAGACTTTTGATATCTTGTTCCAACAGGAGTTCTGAACAGTCTTGAAGCGACCAAATGTAGTCTTCCGTTAAATTTTGGAGGTCGAACACTTAAAAAGGACATCTACGTATGTATGTCCTCTAACATAAATTGTGAGAGCAGTCGAAAATGACCCCCTTTCTAACACTTTCCAACATCCAAATAAATGCCAATCCAGAATCTCTGGGGAGACTTTTAGGACTGAGATTTCTTCATCATCTGGCAGCCAGTACGAGCTGTGATCGTTTATTGGCAGTCGAAATAACCTCAGTCAAAACTAACTTTGGGTGCCCAGACAATCCCGGAGAGCCTAGTACCGAAAGCTCGTGCCCACTCTTCCAAAACTTTTTCTGGTAGTAGCAAGTCGTACTTGGGCACATTTGCATAAGTTACTTGTATCAGGGACGGCAAGAAGTGACATCAGTTTCTCCTGTCAAGGCCTTGTAGTAGTAGTAGTAATAGTAGTCACAAAGCTTTATTCTCATCCCTGGTCGAGAGCACTACGCTGGTTACGCTGGTGACGGTTGGGTCTCTTTTTTTGGTCTTTACCAAGCCTCCAGCGGTCAAGGCAATGAAAGTGAGGACTGGTACTAAGCTTCATTCATGAGTTATGAGTTTTCATCTCGCTTTACACTCTGGGTCATAAACCGAAGACGGATCTGCAATGACTGCCGTAACTGAGGAATGATCTTTAGGACTTCGTCTTTAACGATATCTCCTATGAACATGTACTTGATGTGGTATCTGACGTAAGCTAAAGAACCTTAACAAACAATCTGTTTCGGCAAACGTAACACAATAATGAACAGAGTAATTTACAACTTTTAGAGTGAAACTACAAAGGAGTGATAAAGGATACAAGAAGTCACAAATTGTATCGGTGTGATGTAGAAACTGCACCTCTCTGTTGATTTTTTCTAGCAGACGATACAGTTCAATAACAATCTGTAAACATGAAAAAGGACTCTTAATTAACACTGTCCATGTCACTCCTCTACCATTAAAGCAGCTGTGTCACGAAATTTATCAAAATACAAACAGCGAGAGCTTCTACCAAACTAAGAAAAACATGAGAAATAACTGCTTTAAACATTAAAAGAAGGTTTAACTAACTTAGCAAATACAGAAGGATGCGCCGACAGACAGAGCATGAAGAAGATTGAAACGGATTGCAATTGTGGTTTTTGAAAATTTGTTAGCCTAACAAGTATTCAAAGTTCACTTTTGTTGTTCCTAACCTTTGGTACAATGTTTAGGTACATATTTGTTTGACACGAAGCTCAGATATTCCCTTTCACAAGTTATTTCTCACTCGGTTCCATGGCTACTTAGGATGCGTATTAAAAATTGACATTATTAACAAACGGGGGAACCCAACGTCAATTTTCGGAAAATATCTGTTCGGAAGACGATTTGAGATCTAGAATTTTCGGAACATTTTTTGTAAAATTTTTTGCTTGCCTACCTCTCCTAGGATTTTCGAACATCTAAAAATTGGTGTAATTGCCCATTTTTAACGGATTTTTACCCTAAAAAGCTCACCTAGATTTTTCGGGAGCCTTTTTTCTGGCTGAAATTTTCGAAAAGGTAAGTTTTGATCCCTCTGATTTTCGGATCTCGAGACTTTCAGCTAGGAAATCCGAACAGATGAAAAATTTTTAGGGGATAAAAATATGCCTATATCTACCGTTTAAATACTAAAATACGTTTAAAAACGCTATGTTTAAGTGGTTTTGAACTATATTCTCGTTGGGTGCCCCTGAACAAAATAAATTACACAGCCATGACATACAGCCCCCTTTAATTTACCACTCGCTCGTTACTGCGGAGAGGAAATAGTGGAAAGTGTTTGGGGAAGTCCGGATTTGGACGTTGCTGTTTCCTAAGTCAAGGGAATGTTCCTCGTGTCATCCTTTGCAACCAGGGGTAGACGAAGGTGCTGGGAGAAATTGTAGAGTTTAAAGGCGATATTACACAGGACGATTTACAACGACGATTTTTAAGGCAACAGCGTTGGAACGAAACAATGGAATGTCGCAACGCTGTGATACGCGAAAAACGTCCCTTGTAACATAACCTTTAAGATGTCACGACGGCGAGAGCGTCAAACATTTCAGTCTTTGCCGATACTGCACGACTACGACGTACATTCACTTTTTTCTAATTTCACGTTTTATGGAGAAAAAGCAAACGAAGACGAATTTCTCTTTCTCTTTCTGAACTAACATATGCCAGGATATGGCAACCTCGTTCCCAGGGTCTTTCCTACGTCATTCAACGTCACTCCCTCCACAATAAAGTGCTTCTTAAGGCGACGGGCATTAAGGTTATGTATACATCTGATTCCAGAAAGGTTGTCACTTGAAAATGTAAAGTGTACGCGACGACCCCAAAAGGTATTTAAGTCTGGGATATCATCAAGGAATCTGAATATAAGTTCTTACGCCTGGCGTGCCTCGATCATACGGAGAAAACAGCTGACCTATGTTCAGGTTTCTTTTTCCGTTCCGTTAAAACGCTCCTTCAAGCAACTGTGAACAAACCACTACGCTTCACGCTTTCCACGTTCATCCACTTTGGAATCAGCTGTAAGCAGATTAGCAGACTAGATCGCCGACTTCCGAAAAGAAAATCGAGAGAAAAAAACAAAAAAATCGGGAAAGTCCTTTCCTTTTTCCCCCGCGACCCTTAACTTCCTGTGCCTGTCATCGCACTGCAAAACAAATAATTAGGGACTGTGAAAAGAGTTTTTCGGCAGACCAATTCTTACAAGATGTGCAACGTAAAAGACAACCCTGTTAAAAAGTGTAAGATTGGGTGAATACCTCTTGAAGACACCTTGGTCGTTCTTGTAGAAACCGCTGGAGAAATGGTCCGACAAGATGACACACGTAAAGAAATTGAGCCTCATTTGTGACAAGTGGTGATACACGTTCACGAACAAACCTTCAAACACGAAGTTATTGTACATTAGTTTTGTATTTGTAGAGGGCCAATGCCGGGTTTGTCATCTTTGCTGTTATGTGTTTACCCGCTATTATTATTATTATTATTATTATTATTATTGTTATTATTATTATCAATATCATCATTATTATCATTATCATCGTTATCATCATCATCATCATCATCATTATTATTATTATAAGTATTATTATTTTGTTGCCGGTAAAAATAAGAAAAGGAACAACAACAGGTAATGATGGCGACACATTTCAATCAAGGTTTTCCCTTTCACTGGATTCCATTTCACTACGTTTTTTAATAACGATTCAGCCAGATCTTTCATAAAGGGGATTTTATAAACCTTTTTCACTTCACGCAAACTGTTTTGAACACCGCACTAATTTATACGCAGACGGAAAATCTGCAAGTAACCAAGCAATGAGCACCGTAGTAGCAACTGAAAAATTCTTCTATCTTAATTTCGACAGTTATCGTCATCTTTCGCTCACGAAAGCTGACTGTTTCAAAAATGAAACCAAAAACACAGAACCTGACAAAGCAGTTTGAGAGCTTCGATTCGGGGGAAAAACCAAGTTGGGGTTGAACTGTAAGTTTGCTTAAAACCGGTTTTATTTAATTATTTAAAAGTTGTGATTCTCGACATGTGCTCGGGGTTACAAACTTGTTATTACTTTTTTTTTCAAATTCAATTCAACACAAATGCCTTTCATGTTGACTTTCTTATTTCCATCACTAGTTACACAAGAAAGATCAGAAAAATAGGGTAGACTTAACACATAAAGCGGGTATCAACAGATAAATTACAAGAAGGTGAATTCTCCATGGGTCGATGACAATATACTTACTCTGGGACCTGACTCAGCTGGCCGATACTTGCATGATGCCACAGCGCATGAGTGACTGCCAGTATATAATCCGCATTGGTCTCTGAATGCATGGCCACATTGGTGGAAAAATCTAAAAACGAGTAGGGAAAAGTGGCGCCTTTACCCAAATCCTCGAGCATGACGGGGGCCGTAGATACTTCCCGCACGGTGAGATCCTTTGTGAGAGCCTCGCAGATTTTTTCATACACCGTGCTCCAGTAAGGTTTCTGATAAACAAAAAGAGAGGTATTGGTCTCTTCAGCAGGAAATTTAAAGAGGCTATGCTACCAGGATACTGCTGTTTTATGCCAATTCTGTGCTAAAGTCATTACTTACTGCCTTTACCTCATATTTTCGGGAGCCTTTTTTCTGGCTGAAATTTTCGAAAAGGTAAGTTTTGATCCCTCTGATTTTCGGATCTCGAGACTTTCAGCTAGGAAATCCGAACAGATGAAAAATTTTTAGGGGATAAAAATATGCCTATATCTACCGTTTAAATACTAAAATACGTTTAAAAACGCTATGTTTAAGTGGTTTTGAACTATATTCTCGTTGGGTGCCCCTGAACAAAATAAATTACACAGCCATGACATACAGCCCCCTTTAATTTACCACTCGCTCGTTACTGCGGAGAGGAAATAGTGGAAAGTGTTTGGGGAAGTCCGGATTTGGACGTTGCTGTTTCCTAAGTCAAGGGAATGTTCCTCGTGTCATCCTTTGCAACCAGGGGTAGACGAAGGTGCTGGGAGAAATTGTAGAGTTTAAAGGCGATATTACACAGGACGATTTACAACGACGATTTTTAAGGCAACAGCGTTGGAACGAAACAATGGAATGTCGCAACGCTGTGATACGCGAAAAACGTCCCTTGTAACATAACCTTTAAGATGTCACGACGGCGAGAGCGTCAAACATTTCAGTCTTTGCCGATACTGCACGACTACGACGTACATTCACTTTTTTCTAATTTCACGTTTTATGGAGAAAAAGCAAACGAAGACGAATTTCTCTTTCTCTTTCTGAACTAACATATGCCAGGATATGGCAACCTCGTTCCCAGGGTCTTTCCTACGTCATTCAACGTCACTCCCTCCACAATAAAGTGCTTCTTAAGGCGACGGGCATTAAGGTTATGTATACATCTGATTCCAGAAAGGTTGTCACTTGAAAATGTAAAGTGTACGCGACGACCCCAAAAGGTATTTAAGTCTGGGATATCATCAAGGAATCTGAATATAAGTTCTTACGCCTGGCGTGCCTCGATCATACGGAGAAAACAGCTGACCTATGTTCAGGTTTCTTTTTCCGTTCCGTTAAAACGCTCCTTCAAGCAACTGTGAACAAACCACTACGCTTCACGCTTTCCACGTTCATCCACTTTGGAATCAGCTGTAAGCAGATTAGCAGACTAGATCGCCGACTTCCGAAAAGAAAATCGAGAGAAAAAAACAAAAAAATCGGGAAAGTCCTTTCCTTTTTCCCCCGCGACCCTTAACTTCCTGTGCCTGTCATCGCACTGCAAAACAAATAATTAGGGACTGTGAAAAGAGTTTTTCGGCAGACCAATTCTTACAAGATGTGCAACGTAAAAGACAACCCTGTTAAAAAGTGTAAGATTGGGTGAATACCTCTTGAAGACACCTTGGTCGTTCTTGTAGAAACCGCTGGAGAAATGGTCCGACAAGATGACACACGTAAAGAAATTGAGCTTCATTTGTGACAAGTGGTGATACACGTTCACGAACAAACCTTCAAACACGAAGTTATTGTACATTAGTTTTGTATTTGTAGAGGGCCACTGCCGGGTTTATCATCTTTCCTGTTATGTGTTTACCCGCTATAATTATTATTATTATTATTATTATTATTACTATTATTATTATTATTATTATCATTATCATCATTATTATCATTATCATCGTTATCATCATCATCATCATCATCATCATTATTATTATTATAAGTATTATTATTTTGTTGCCGGTAAAAATAAGAAAAGGAACAACAACAGGTAATGATGGCGACACATTTCAATCAAGGTTTTCCCTTTCACTGGATTCCATTTCACTACGTTTTTTAATAACGATTCAGCCAGATCTTTCATAAAGGGGATTTTATAAACCTTTTTCACTTCACGCAAACTGTTTTGAACACCGCACTAATTTATACGCAGACGGAAAATCTGCAAGTAACCAAGCAATGAGCACCGTAGTAGCAACTGAAAAATTCTTCTATCTTAATTTCGACAGTTATCGTCATCTTTCGCTCACGAAAGCTGACTGTTTCAAAAATGAAACCAAAAACACAGAACCTGACAAAGCAGTTTGAGAGCTTCGATTCGGGGGAAAAACCAAGTTGGGGTTGAACTGTAAGTTTGCTTAAAACCGGTTTTATTTAATTATTTAAAAGTTGTGATTCTCGACATGTGCTCGGGGTTACAAACTTGTTATTACTTTTTTTTTCAAATTCAATTCAACACAAATGCCTTTCATGTTGACTTTCTTATTTCCATCACTAGTTACACAAGAAAGATCAGAAAAATAGGGTAGACTTAACACATAAAGCGGGTATCAACAGATAAATTACAAGAAGGTGAATTCTCCATGGGTCGATGACAATATACTTACTCTGGGACCTGACTCAGCTGGCCGATACTTGCATGATGCCACAGCGCATGAGTGACTGCCAGTATATAATCCGCATTGGTCTCTGAATGCATGGCCACATTGGTGGAAAAATCTAAAAACGAGTAGGGAAAAGTTGCGCCTTTACCCAAATCCTCGAGCATGACGGGGGCCGTAGATACTTCCCGCACGGTGAGATCCTTTGTGAGAGCCTCGCAGATTTTTTCATACACCGTGCTCCAGTAAGGTTTCTGATAAACAAAAAGAGAGGTATTGGTCTCTTCAGCAGGAAATTTAAAGAGGCTATGCTACCAGGATACTGCTGTTTTATGCCAATTCTGTGCTAAAGTCATTACTTACTGCCTTTACCTCATACACAAAATGCTCCTGTGGAGTTATGGAGAAGATATCAGACAAATTTCATCAGGAAGCACTATTAACCATCATAATTTTTTCCAGTGGTCATTTTTGCAGACGTAGAATTAAAACTTCAAATCACGTGAATCCATGTTTACTTTTACCATCTGTTTCAACAGACGACAGAAAACAGTTTCAATGCTTAAATATTGTCTTAAAAACTAGACCATTACTTTTGGAATTCAGTTGATGCAAATACAAGCTTTTAAAGTAGGTAGCAAATAGCCTGACATAGCTTCTTTGAGAAAGCTTTTTCAAGGTCTTGTAGCAGTCAATTAATTGTATTAGCCTCCCTGACCAGCTCAAGAACATGAAACATGAAGTGGATAAGAAATAGAGATTTACCGGAAGTGACGACAAAACTAATCCCACAGCATTGATCCATTCTAAGATGTTTGTTCGAATGTCAGCGTTGTCAGTGACGAAGCTTCCTTTAAATATGACGTCAAACAGTTTATTCCCCACTTCTGGTCCTTTGACAGGTAGGGCCATTAGCTCCACCCACGTTGCATATAGCGCATGTGCAGCGGGGTTTGCAAACTCGTTGAACCGCCAATCACAAGCAGGGAATGGAGGCGGGCTTTTTCCAGCAATCGCTTTGCATTGTCAAGGAGTTCATCTTCCACTTCACGCATCTCAAACAACGCTTAAAATATACAACGCTACACTACTCACACATCTCTAATACACATAAAAAAGTTCACTACCCGTAGTACAACGACGTCCAAATATACGCTCCCACAGCGTCTTGTTATTAATTGCAACGAGCTGAAAAACGGAGATACCTTCTATGGGTTAACTCATATGCTAATCAGCAATAATGTAAACAATGACGTCAACAAAGATTCACTGGTTGGTCAGAGGAATTACAAGACAATTCACACAGTACTGTTGACATTAGAAGCTTGCAGTTAGCTCCCACAAAGAAGCAGAGACTGAGTGCATCTAAACATACTTTAACCAAGAGATGAATCATCTTTATTCCTTCCTGTCATGACTGTTTAACAAGCAAACGCAACAAAGGATACTATCCACAAGTCTACCAATCAAAGAGCAGTAATAAGCAAGATCCGGGGTCCACGATGTATCGTCAGTCCTGGAAATATATTCTAAGTATCCCTCGGAAAGACACCTGTTGATTAAACAAGTGTATATCAACAGGTTCATATCTGACTTGTGATACAGTAAAAATCCGTGAATAAGAACCTGCATTTTCCCAAGTTAGCCTGAACAGGTTCTTACATAAAAACACAAATGTAGGCAATTTAGGTTCTTAAATAGGTTCTTATTTTCTGAAGAGAAAAATACTCGGTAGCTAAGAGTATTTTGTGGTATCCAGCTTATTCCTCATTTAAAATCTGCATACCATTACATTGCAGCTGGAGCGATAAGACACCTATGTTTCTATAGAGGATCCTGAGTGTTAAAAGAAGAACCTGCTTCAAATTATGTGGTTAAATTTTAGGGGGACTAACTGGAAACTTTAAGCATAACAGGATCTTAAAAACCAGGTTCTTACTTGCGGGTTTTTACTGTATCTAAATATTTCTGAAAGCAAATATTTCTAAAACTAATGGAACAGTTAGGGTACAGTGCCATTCTAAGGTGAAACAAGAGCGGATGAGACTTCATCTTCTCTAAGGCCCCGTCCACACGTATCCGGATGCTTTTGAAAACGGAGAGTTTTTTCCGTTTTAGGCCCTGTCCACACTAATGCATTTTCGTTTGAAAACGCATACATTTCGATGCGTTTAGGCTTTCCGTTCACACTAATAAGCTGCGCGTTTTCAATCTGGGCGTTTCAATGAAAACGTATCGATTTGAAAACGCTCTAGAAAGTGGATCAAAACGAAAACGCATACATATCAGGGCCATTTATACGAGGAAAAATAAGACGCGTCTTACATAAGATGCGTCTTAAATAAGACGCGAACTTTCCGTATAAACGGCACATTTCGTCTAAAATAAGACACGGCTTAGCTAAGACGCGTCTTATTAGATAAGACATGCTCGTATAAATGGTACAGTTCGCTTCTTATGTAAGACGCGTCTTATTTTTCCTCGTATAAATGGCCCTATCGTGTTAGTGTGGAAGGTCA